TCACAGTCTGTGGAGGTTTCAGTCCACACTTGGTTGGCTCCGTTCATGGCAGTGGAACACAGCAAAAGCAACAAGCACAAAAGGGAGGAATGGTAGCAAGTAGCCTCTTCCTCTCTCTTATATATGCAAACTATCCACCCTAGGGCAGTGTAGTACTCACATTCATAATCAGTCAAACTCTAAAAGCCCACCCTATGACTGCAAGTGTCTTTGAGGGGACACCCAGGTACAAACCATAACAGAAACCCTGCAATCAGGACCCTTGCCTCCAGATAAATGAGTTGTTATGCCAACCTCCTGAGATCGATCATTGACTTAGACGAAGCCAGGCTGTCTCTAAATAACAAGTATTTTAAAGAAGTTAAAACACCAAGATTAACTTTCTGGCTGAGTTCTGTTTATCTTACAAGTTGCAGCTGGTGCAGGGGATGTGTAGGTCAACTGAACCTAACATTCTAACTACACGATGGGATGGGCCTGTCTTTCCCATTTTTTAACATGATGCAAGGCTTAAGTTTTTAAGTTCCCCTTACAACTGCAGCTCTTATAACTCTCTCAAATTCAGAGTCATGCTACCAGGAATAACAAGACATCCTCTCAAGTAAGTCTGAAGAGAGAAATGACTCTCTCAAAAGCTTGTATGTATGCATCTGTGTCATCAGTATAACTTCTCAAATCTTGCTTAATTTCTCCCAGTTCCACATAAGCAAGTGAGACTTGCAGGGGCCCTGTAAGATTGTTAAGGAGAGACAGCAGGTTAGCTACTGGGGTACCAGCCCTGACCTTGGAAGAGGGGAATGCAGATTCTTTATCTAGGGGCTCTCCGTGTCTTGCTTTTCCTCAATAGGATCTCCAACATAGCATTCCCCCACACTGGGACAAGAGGTGGAGGTTGGCCCCAAAGCAGCCCATGTGGAGGGCCAAAGGAACACTCACACATCCATTTAGAGTGATCTGAGAACAAAAAAACAAGTGGACATAAGCCACTTCACACCACTTCCCTCTCTTTTTGCTGAACAGACCAGGGATGTCTTCTTTAAGTGTTGCAGTGAATGAGTGAGTTACAACATGTTATTCCTATTTATCTACCAGAGGCAAGGGAGTGTGCTCATATCTGTGCTTTCTTTATTTTTTTTTTTTATTTTTTATTTATTTATTTTTTTTAGGGAATTAACAATGGTGGTTTTATTACATATTGATATCTTCAAAGTGGCTTCTCATGAAAACAGATATAGACATGCAATACTGGTCAACCAAAGACTCATTGACAGT